GACATTAGATTTTTCTTATTCATAATCATTACAATATTTGGCAAATGACATGTCTTCATTTGTTTTCAATGCAAAACAACGCCTCAAATATTTTCAATGTCAAACAATGTTGAGCAGTTTTTTTGTAATTTTCTCCATTCATTTCTACAATCTAACTATATTTCTATAATTCAAAAAATCCTAAAAAAATCTCTTAATAAACTTCAAAAAGATTTATCAAAGTCCGAATAACCGTTTAGGAGGTTTATCCTTTCATACGCCATATTTGTTGAAGGTGTTCAAATTTGATGTTGAAATGTATGATTAATTTCTTGCAGGGCGTAACATCAAGTAAAAAATATAAATAAAGTAAAGATTTTTAAAACATTTTTATTTTTCCATAATGCCATCCTATGCTCGACACTATCACACACACTTGCACAGCGTGTTGTACTGTGTTTATTACAAAAACACTTGTTTTCCAAAAAATTTTACCCCTCAATTTAGAATTTTTACAGAGATTTATATTCTCGGATGAGCATCGGATGAGCGGGTGCTTATGATAATATATTATTCACTAATTATTCTTTATTCTTTATAAAAAAGTAATTACTGACATTTAGTGCTTGTTTCCAATTATTATTTATTCACAAGTTGGTGTTAATAATTTAAGATTTAGATATAATTAGTCCGTCTTTTTAGTTAAATCTCTTTCTTACTTATTCTTGCTTTTATTTTTAAAAATTCTAGAACCACTGACGATGACGTAGAATTCTACGTAGAAACGTACGGAAAAATAAACATGTTTTAAAAATCTTTACTTTATTTATATTTTTTACTTGATGTTACGCTCTCCAAGAAATTAATCATATATATATGTATATGTATATATATATATATATATATATATATATATATAACAAATGTATTCTGAGTGGATAATAGATATTAATTTGGAAATATGAACAAACAACACTCTTTTTGCACTTATTTAATAAATAATAATTTTCACAAACGTTTCGAAACTAGGTTTGTCTCATCATCAGTGTCATATATACAAATGTATACCCAAAGTACAAAACATCTATATACAAATACCTATAAACCCACAACATACACATACATATATAAATACACACATATATACATACACATATATTCACATATATATTATACACACACATATATATATACATATATATATATATATATATATATATATATACATACAGACACACATATATGCATACATACGCATACACATATACACATCACACAGACACACACCTACATATATATATATATAAACACTCACAATACTCACATACATACAACCATATTACATATATACTTATACATATATACATACACATATATATACATACATACATAAGTACACAAAAAGCTACAAAGTATTAATAAGATTCAGATATGTATCATGTAATATATTGGTATCTGTCCGTAAATTTACTGTATTACTTGTATGGGCTATTAACATCGATTCTGCAATACTTCTTTTAGATAAATTTTGTTCATAATATAATATGTGCGGATTATTGAAATCGAAACTATGGCTGTTAGAGATAGCGTGGTCGACGAGTGTACTTTTTTGTTGTATGTTATTATTTTTACTTTGTTTACTTTGTAATTCGTATTGTCTTAATCTTTTTCCTAAATTTTGACATGTTTGCCCAATATAAGATGAATCGCAGTTCAAACAGTTTATTTGGTACACCACATCTTTTCTTTTTTTGGTAGGTATATTGTCTTTAATGTTTGTGTATATGTCTTGCAGTTGTAGTAAGGGTGACACGGATATGTTAATATTGTGTTTATTAAAAAGCTTTTTGGATAAAAGGTGTAAATCTTTGTCTATATATGGAAAATTCACAAAACATTTATTTTCTGATACAGACAAGTTATTCGAGCAATGTGTGGTTATTATTTGTTTGTCCAATAAAAATTTAATTCTATTTTTAATTATTGCACTGATTATTTTGTAAGGAAAACTATTCATGAGTAATGTGTTAATGACTAATTTGATATTGTGATTGTGAAATTTTGGGTTAGCTAAAAGAATTGCACGGTCTACTAAACTGAGAACTGTAAATATCTTTATATTGAGAGGTGTAAAAGAATTAATATTAATGTACCTGCCTGACCAGCTATCTTTCCTGAACCAATTGGTAATGCAAATACCGTCGTCGTTAATGAGCTGAACATCAAGAAAATGTATAGAGTTATCTTTTTCTAATTCTTGTGTAAATTGTAAATGAGAATTTTAATTATTAAATTTTTGAAAAATGTTCTCTGTCATTTTTGTTAATTAATAAAAGCGTGTCATCAACATATCGAAAATATAGTAGTGGTTTACAAATTGTAGAATTCAACACACTTTTCTCTAAATCTTGTAGCACTAAGTCTGCTAAAACGGGACTCAAAGGACTTCCCATAGGACACCCTCTTATCATAGTATAAAATTTATTATTGAATTGAAAATATGAGGCCTTCAGTAGTAAATCTATTCCAGAAATAAATGTTTCGAGAGGTAGTGAAGTGTATTCAACAATTTGCAACCATCTACTTCTAATGGCGGTAATAACTAATTTATGTGGAATGTTGCTGAAAAGATTAATAACATCAAAACTAACGAAGGAAAAATTATGAGGGATCTTGAAATCCTTTACGCGATCTACTAAACGGTATGACTTGTTCAAAAAATATGGTGAATTAACCGTAACATTTTTTAAAATTTTGGAAAAGAATTTAGATAAATTATAATAAGGTGAATCAATGTATGAAACTATAGGTCTGAAAGGGCAGTTAGGTTTATGTACTTTGGGAAGGCAATAGAATTTAGGTACTAGAGGGTGTTGCATTTTTAACTTTAGGGCAATAGAATTGTTGATGTAACCTTTTTTTCCAAAAGATTGATGTATTTAAAAGCTTGTCTATGGTGGTAATTGTTCAGATCACTCGGTAACTCCTCATACATTGTTTCGTCTTCTAGGATGTTCATTGCTTCTTTTTCATAATTATCTCTTAACAGAATTACTGAAATATTTCCTTTGTCTACTTTACATAAAATTAATTGGCTATTCTCTATTAGGAAAGTTTTTGCAGCTTTTATGTCCCGATGAATGTATGCTAAATTATTTATTGAATTGATGTTTTGTTTATTATTCTTCAAAATCTTCAATAATTTTTGTATGAAAGTGACTCTGATGAAATTTATATCCTTTTCCGTTGGATTCTTAATCATCTTAAGTCCAGCTTCCAGACTGCTTATGATTTTTATAATGTCGTTGTATTTTAAATGTTTTTTATGAATAGCAAATTTTGGTCCTAAGGATGGTAGAATATATTTTATGTTATCAGGTATAATTGTCTCTGTTTTACTAATGAGCCATTTGTTCCAATCTAATCCTACGTTTAATATTGGATGTAATTTGGCTCTATTTTCTATTAATTTCAATAATTTTTTTTGATGTTTGAATTTAAATGATTGAATTTTTTATTATATATTTTCAGTTCGAGCTTAAAGAATTTTTCATACTCATGTAATGCTAATATTTCTTGAATATCATGTTTAAGATTAACCATTGTTTTGTTCAACGAAATGATGTCTTTTTCACTGGTCGGAATTTCAAACTTCAATATTTTGTTACGTACTATTTGTAAGCTATTTTGTAATTTGTGTTTGTTTCATAAGATGTATTTTTGAACGAACAAGTGTTGGAGATGAAATTTGGTAACACATTTTCATGCTTACATTTAATGAGAAAATTCCGCTTGTTAATAGTCTTAGCTAAGGTGAGATGCTTTGTCGATAGATGTTTATCGATTTGCGGCTTCTGCTCCATATTTTGTGCGCACTAATTTGAAATAAGATTGATCCATTTTGAAGTTCACGGAATAATATAACAAATGTATTCTGAGTGGATAATAGATATTAATTTGGAAATATGAACAAACAACACTCTTTTTGCACTAATTTATTAAATAATAATTTTCACAAACGTTTCGAGACTAGGTTTGTCTCATCATCTGTGTGTTATAATTTAAAATTTAAAATATGGAAATCTAAATTAGCATTTTGTGTTATCCATCACAAGTCGTTCGATACACTGTTCTCTGCCATACCAACGGTCGTCGGTGTCCGCATTCTCTCTCACTTGAAAACCACTTGAAATTGAATCGCCACGCAATCAGATAGGAAAGGTAGGATTAGGGTCCAGTTGAAAAATAGAGCTCGTTAGGAGAAAAAATATTCTATGAATGAGATGGTTTGTTTATAAGATTTGATTTAAATTGTTATAATTAAAAATATATGTACGTATATATACATACTCATATATACAAATGTATATACAAAGTACACAACATCACATATACAAATACCTATAAACCCACAACATACACATACATATATAAATACACACATATATACATACACATATATTCACATATATATTATACACACACACATATATACATATATATATATATATATATATATATATATATATATATATATATATACATACAGACACACACAGGATATTTGTAAATGTTTTGACTTAACAAGACTATGTATATATAACACACTGTTATATATAACAGTGTGTTATAGTCTTGTGAAGTCAAAACATTTACAAATATCCTCGGAAAAAATCGAGTGTTTTTAACAAAAAATATTAGTGATATGAATATATAAATTATTACAGAATAAATCTGATGATGGAACGTATCTAGTTTCGAAACGTCGTTATTAAACATCTTCAAAAAACAAATTGTTTTTTATTATTGGATTTACTGTTCGGAAAAGAAACAATCAATATATTGAAAAAATCCAGGACTTATCTATTGAATATATATATATATATATATATATATATATATATATATTGTATTCAAATATTTATTCTATTACAAAATATAATTCATGTAGATAAGCTGAAAATAAGTTTCAATTAAATTATGTTTTTTTATAATATTTACTATGCAATATCAATAACCAGGTGCTCCAGCTGGTGGCTGGGTTACACCATCAGCTGGTGGTTCAGCATGCTGGGTGGATGCCAGTAATGGAGAGGTTCCACCTAATGCTTTAAGTGGCGGTAAAGACGGCGATGAAGAACTCTTTGTGGGACGTGCAAGACACGAAGGTGCGCTTTTGCCTGGTAAAATTGTACCATCTCATGGCGTTTGCTACGTTGCATGGGGAGGTGGTGAACACGGTGTTCAAGAATATCAGGTAATCAAAATTCAAATGCGATTTTATTTTTTGTCCATAGTATCATAAATGGATAAAATATTATCTTCAGAAATTGAAATGAGATAAGTTTCTTGCACTATTTTATTGAATGAGCGTTTTCAGGTTTTATGCAGCTGTGATGGAACCTGGGTAGCGACTCAAGGTGCCAATATACCAGATGGTGCTCTCCCAGCTGGCGAGACAGAGGATGGTGAACCATTATTTGTTGGACGTGCTGAGCACGAAGGTACCGTGACGGTCGGCAAAGTTCAAGTTTCACACGGCGTTTGTTACATCCCATATGCAGGTCAAGAAATGGGATTCGATACGTACGAGGTCCTTGTATTCAAACAGTAAAATTAAATATTGAAAGATATTAATCATATGATGCATGAGCAAAAAGCCTGCTCGTACATTTTTTGCCTAAATCTATTTAGATTGATTGTTACTATATAGAAATTTCTGTGTATTGAACATTATTTTCGACAGTAGTGTAAGTGTACTAACTTTAATATATATTTATTAAATCAGTGTTTTTCATTCCAATTGTTTACGATCTGCTATTAAGTGTTCAACGTGTTTCAATATAATATAGATTAATTATCTGAAAGTGCGAATAAAAATGTACACTTTTCGCTAGTTTTTGTATAGATTTTTTCGACTTTAATCTTAATGCTGCTTTATTATCTTTAATAAATGATTCAAACACTGTATTCTGTGCGTTATTTTATCTAATAAGCCATTCTAATAAATTGCTTAAAATTACATAAATTCCAATTCTAATATGATGATAGTTTTGTCGACGTCGATACATATTTGAATATTTTTTTGCAGCCCAATCCTCGAATTAAGAAAAGAGATTAAATAGATTTTTTTTATTCTATTGAACGTTTCGACACTTGATGTGTGTCAAATACAAAATTTGATAATAAATATAAATATATAAAAAGGAGAAAATTATATACATAACAAACCAGGAAAAACAATTAAAAAAATTTATTAAGTAAAATGTATGGAACACTAAAATAGTGTAAAATAATATTATACCAATATATCTGGTTGGGCTGGCTAGCATCAGTAATTAACATTAAAGCGGGCTGTAAGTAAATAATTGTTATCTGACGATAACCGTTCCAAATTTGATTTTTACTGAATAAAAACACTGTGATTGGTATAAAACCTATATAATATCTTCAAACTATTACAAATACATCGGTGATTGAATATACTTGTTAACTGCTCCGCTGCATTGTCTAGACCATAGTTTCCCAAACTTGTTTGTGCCGTGGACCCCTTGCGATATTTTTCATTTTGTCATGGACCCCCTATATTATGGTTTATCCGGGACAGTTCCGGGTTTCCATCTTTTGATTCGGGTTTTTTCAAAATCAATATTTGTCCCGGATTTTTGAAATGTATAGGTTTAAATCTTAATTTAAATATTCTCAATTAAAATTTGTTTTTTCTTAATTAAAATTAAATTACAACTACTTATGAAATTAATTATGTGAAAAAATGTGTTTTTTATCTCTTGTAAAACGTTACGAATGAGAAAATTGCTAAATACAAAATTTCAAAGGCGAATTTAATTTCATAAAATTAAAAAAAGAAAACAAACAAGCCAATAGTAATTTTTTCAAGTTAATTATAAAGAAAATTGAACAGAGTTTTATAGAAGTCTCAAATGCAAAAAAACATATAGATTACAAAATATAAGATATAATATAAAAGCGTGGTAAAAGATGATTGTAACATATAATCGAATATATATATATATATATATAAATCTTACTAAAAGCCCGCAATTGCAATTTGAAAAAAATATTTTTGAACTAACTGTATTTTATTGTATTTTTAAATGATATCTTTTTACTACGTAACATTTGTTATTTCTATAACAGATGTATAACAGATCGTCCTATGCTCAACCTAATATATCGAGCAACGAAATGAATTTAAAATGGACTTCGTTGCGATAAATATATTAATGAGTTTAGTTTCAAAACTGAAGTAATGAATAGCGGCTTTATAATTATTTTTAATACATCATTAAATTGATCATATATTATTTTCGAAAATACGCTTTACTGACTTAGACTTTTTTAAATTAAGCAAATTTGATTTTTAACACCCGGTAGGGTAAGTTATAGTAATCGCAAAAAAATCGAAAATGAACATTTTTATATATATATAGTATAATAATTTTTGCGAAGGCAGGTCTAGCGGTTTCAGAGATCGAGTGAAAAAAGTAAAAAAATGCCATTTGGCGGTCAAAAATGATCATTAGACAAATGCATATCAAATTATCAGATGTTTTATAGAGATTTTAATAATAAGTATGAAATATGAATTTTGTTGGCATTTCTATGGTGCTTTCGCGCTTCCATATTTTTTCTCTAAAACTCAGCACGATTGCTTTCAAAAAAAGTTCAAAATTTTCAGAAAAATTAAAAGTACATATAAAAAAATTTCGAAATATAAAAAAAAATCAAATTCTTCAAAAAAGTCAAAATTTTTCAGAAATTTTGAATTCTCAAAAATCTTTTTTTAAGGTTTTCAAAAAAATTTAAAAGTTCTTTAAAAAATTTAATTCACGGTACGGGAAGTTCCAGCAATTTGCCTTATGGCACGCTGTCATGCAACCAGTTACAACATTAATCCACGTGGAAAAACTGACGGTAGGACTGCTATAATAATCAGAAACATCATTAAGCACTACCAAACCTTTAACATTTGTCAGTAAATATTTGATATGGGCAACTTTCTTCAATAATCAACCCAGAAATAAACTATATCTGTAATTTACTGTCCACCAAAGCACAAAATTACCTGTGCAATTTAAATGTCTAAAACTTTAGTTCAAAACACTTGAGTCCAAATTCTTTGCTGAAGGGACTAAAATTCAAAAAAATTTTTGTTTATCGAATCCAAATAGGTGGTATCTATATCACACTTCGTTAAATTGCCATTTAAACCTCTATATTTGGTATTTATAAATCTAAGGGCAAAAATCTTACCAAAATTAAGCTTTTCTACAGCCAGCATATAGTTTACCCATGTAGAAATTAATATGGTCTGAATCTACAAGCAATATAAAATCTACATTGGTCAAATTTGAAACCAATATCGGCTGGTCATAAAAATTGAACATTTTTTATATTGAGGCCATATAGGTAAACCAACATTGGTCTATATTGGTCTATATTTGGAAATTTGGAACCAATGTTGCCTACAAATTGTTGAATGTTGGTAAGGTAATATACAATTAGACAGAGAGCTGGTAAACATTTAGAATTATTAATTATTGAATTATTCTGAAACTTATAACTGATGTTGAAATAAAACACAAATATTTGAAGATTTGAAGTTGAAATAATATAACGCATAAATCAATGTCATTTATTTAACAATAAAACACCTGAAATTTATTTATTTATTTATTTATTTATTTATTTCTGAAATGAACATATACGTAAATTTATTAAGAATGTTTTTGTGGAAATTCATTTATTAAATATAAACAATGATACAAATATATAACTGCATTAAAAATATGATTATTTATAAAACACAAAAGTGTCATAAATATTGATTATTTTTTTAATAGATATTTATTAATACATATCAAGTAAACTTTTTTTATAACAATAACAAAAGCAAATAAACTTTCCTATTTATAACATCATCACTCGATAAAACATTTCACAGCATCTGAACATATTTTATTTGTTGTTAATATATTTATTATCCATTATGAAATATTTATTTCATCGTCTAGAACAGTCATTGGAAAACCTACCTTACATTTGATATATATCAAGTAAATTATAATCGAATAATTATTCGATTATAATTTACGTGATATATATCAAATGTAAGGTAGGTAAAGTAATAAAAGTAATAAAAGCAAATTAACTTAACTATTTATAACATCATCACTCGATAAAACATTTTACAGCATCTGAACATATCTTATTTGTTGTTAATATATTTATTATCCATTATGAAATATTTATTTCATCGTCTAGAACAGTCATTGGAAAACCTACCTTACATTTGATATATATCAAGTAAATTATAATCGAATAATTATTCGATTATAATTTACGTAATATATATCAAATGTAAGGTAGGTAAAGTAATAAAAGTAATAAAAGCAAATTAACTTAACTATTTATAACATCATCACTCGATAAAACATTTCACAGCATCTGAACATATTTCATTTGTTGTTAATATATTTATTATCCATTATGAAATATTTATTTCATCGTCTAGAACAGTGACTAGGAAACTTTTTCAATCATAACCCCAAAATATTTTTGTCCAAGTTTGTATTGTCATCTGAAACCTCGTATTCCTTGTTAATAAATTTATAATATATCATTATATATTATCAATATGAATAATTTATGAAAGCGTTAAAATGAGATTGTAAAATGCACTCGACTCTACTTTTACCTTAAAAAATAATGACTTCATATCATAGTCTAGAATCTTGCTATGCAAATGTACAGATTTATTGACATTCCACATTGCATTTATTATAATCAAACATTATGACTATTCTGTCAAAATTTATATCTTTCCTTTCTATAATTTATTTAGTTACAAACTTTTGATGAAAAACTTTTCGATAACATTTTACTACTAAGCAAACCAGTTTCTCTATTTTCTGCGCTTACAACAATATTACCTGAAAATAAATAAGAATATGTTTTAAATGCAGAGACATATAATTATATTATAACAAGTATTGTCTTACCTTTTATAAATATGAAAGTGCAGTATGTCTTCACTCAAAAAGATTAGGTTATGTTATATTTTATTATATTTCACGTAATATGTACAACTGATTTCTCAATGTGTTTAAACTCCTGATCAATATAAAAATCCTTAGTGAGAAAAATAAAATTATCTTGCATTTCTTAATATTTTTATTGAAAACTTGCAAATTTTGACATTTCGAATAGCTAGTTTCCGATTATTTATTAGAGATACTAATAATAATGTAGTTAGCAGTAATTATTCTAAAAATAAATAGCTATTAGTTACGATGCATAAACGCATAATTAAGTATTATACTCACCAATAGTAAAAAGAATTCGTCTATTAAAACTAAGGTTATGTTAGATATACATAACTTATTACTTAATCTATCCATCCCAAATCAAATCAGATGACGTAAAATTAAGTTGAACTTTCAAACCTTTGTATTTTAATCCAAAGTAACAACAAAGAAATGAAATATTGTATATTTTTCAGAGACAATGCTTACTAAACAATTGTTTACCAAACTTGTTTGTGGTATATATTTCGCACCAATGCACATTACACACATTAGAAAACAATGTACACTATAACACTATTACACATTACACATAACTGAAAATATTATTCGATTATTTCCAGCAAAACTAGTATCTTAAAACATACTATAATTAACAATTTTGCATTAAAGGCTAAGGACGCCGTGTGACGCGCGGCGCTTCTTGTGGCATGCGTCATGCATAGAAGTTCA